AAATAAACAGACATGATATTAAACAAAGACAAATATGATTCAAACTAGCATTGTATTCACCCAAATCATTATTCTATCATAGTTCACAAAATGCTCAGATAACATTCCAGAAGTAAGCACTTATATAAACATTTAAAAGGACAACATATATAAACATTCCAGAAGAAGAATAGTTTACTTTCGCAACACGAAACTTAAAATCGCAACGCGAAATGACTATCGCAACGCGGAAATGGCTATCGCAATGCGAAATGAAAATCGCAACGACAAAATCGCAACGCGAAATGAAATCGCAACGACAAAATCGCAACGCGAAACACAAATCGCATTGCGATTTTCATTTCGCGTTGCGATTTCATTTCGCATTGCGATTTTGTCGTTGCGGTTTTCATTTCGCATTGCGATAGCCATTTCCGCGTTGCGATAGTCATTTTCGTGTTGCGAAAGCAAACTATTCTTCTTCTGCAAATTGAAACTTGAATGGATTGCATTACTTTAACCAAAAGACAAAAACAAAACCAAAAACAAATACTAACAAAAACAGTTTAGCAGTATTTGCAGCAACCGAATGGATTACGAGTATGAAAAATCTTAAACTTACCTCGTTGCGTAGAGTATGAACCTCATTCTGCAACGATGCTACCATCTCACGTAGAGCGGCTACCTCACCGCGTAATGTAGACACCTCAACACGCCATGCACCATCGTCTTTGCGTAAAGTACCGACCTCCTCACGCAAGGCATTGACCTCATCACGTAACTCCCCTAACTCATCCCGTTGAGGTGGAGGTGGAGAACAGGGAGATAAACGTCGTGGCATCTTTGCCGGTCGCCTATCTTGCGGTGATGGTGGAGAAGAGGCTCGATGATGTGACAGAATAGGTGATGGCTGTCGAGGTGTATAGCCGGGTCGATCAGATGATGGCTCTGGGTGAGGTGATAGCTCTGGGCGAGGTGATGGCTCCCGAAGTGGAGGCTGCTCATCAACCGTTCCATCAAAAAAACGCTTACTAGCTTGCCACCAATCAGTGGCAAGCTCAGCTTCCGTTGGTGTCAGCCTCTGTAGAGGAGTGTTGGCCTCCTAACAATATAAAAGCTCAAACAAAGTTAAACGTGTACTAGTAATAACTTATTTATAAATATATGGTAGTATTTATGTTAACTTACATTATTTATTGTCGTATACCGTAGTAAATCTTCCCATTGCAAGGTCCGTTTCCTCTTCCAGGAAATAGCCCTGGGAATATCATTTGAAGTTTTTATTGCATATGTCTTCATGGCGGGAAAGGCCTCAAATATCCAAATCTACAAACAATATAATAACAAACATTAGTAATTGTTAAATAATTACTTATAATTTTGGAAACATCATATAAAAATTCTTACCTTAAAGGCCCAAATAAAGCCTGTCAAAGTGTATTTGGAACCATCGCCATGCAAATTTTTTCGATCATCCAAGGCAGATGATAACTTATTCCATGTAGCTTTCCATAAATACGAGCCTCACGGAAACAGGTTCCACGCATTTAGGTCTTCTACCAATTTGATTAGATCATTTGGAATAGGTTGTCTGGCCTCTCTGCCTAAAAAGTCGGCATGCAAAAGAATTAGAAGGCATACTCGGACAACGTCGACGTCATCCATCCGAGTAAAACCATCTTTATTATTCAACAATCTTGTCAGGTCTTCTACGTGTAGACTCGGCCTCTCCAGCTCAGGAAAAACCCGGGATAGCCATGATGGGCGGGTAATGTGTCTAGTGTACCGACCTACATCATCGTGTCCGAAGCGTAGACCGGTGATTAAGCAAAACTCCTCCCGCCCAAAACACGTATACGCCGATGGAAAATCAAACCATATCTCTTCATCACGACGTTGTATAGTCTCTGGTAGATCGCTAGTCATGGTTTGAAGAAACAGGTGTGTCAACATCGCATCTCCACCGGGATGTTGTACTTTCAGCCATGGCCCGAAGCATGTATCCTCAAACATTTTTCTTTGTGCAGGTGAAAGCTTCGACGCAATTGTTTTGGCCAGGCTGACTTTATTTCTCAAGGTCAATTGAGCCGAATAAAAGTTCTACAAAAACAATAAACATACTAAATTAGATATACCAAAAACAATAATAAACATAAAGAGTAGTAGTTTATTCTTCAAACTTAAATTTGCAACACTGTGAATTTCGTATTTGTCTTTGTTTTTTGGTTGAAGTAATGCAATTCATTCAAGTTTCAATTTGCAGAAGAAGAATAGTTTCTGAAAATGAAAATCGCAACACGAAAATGACTATCGCAACGAGATAATCGCAACGCGAAACTAAAATCGCGTTGCGATTTGCATTTCGCGTTGCGATTCTCGGTTGATTTAATAAGCAATCTAAGTGAAATGGTTAATCTATTATTGAAATTACCAGTAAACTTATCATCAAATTCAATATGAAAAACCTAATAATAATGCAAAAATTTCAAAAAGAAAATAATTAAAAAAACTAACCCTCGTTGGTTGATTTGGTTGATTTTTCATTTTTGATTGTGAGGGTGGCTCTGAGAGATGGAGATAGACGGATTTCGCCGGAGATGGGGACGGATTTCGTCGGAGATGGGTGAGAGAGTGAGAGATGGAGATGGGACTGAGTTGTGATTTTAGGTTTTAGGTTATGAGTTGCGATTACGGGATATACTGTGGACGGTTCAGTGTTCCAATATATTAATATTCGTGTTTGGAATTTAAAAATAAAATACTTGGCCAGGATACTAATGGCGCTTTGAAAATCGCATTGCGATTATGTATTATCGCGTTGCGAAAGTCAGAATCGCGTTGCGAAAGTCAGTATCGCGTTGCGAAAGTAAGTATCTCGTTGCGATTTTGTATTATCGCATTGCGATAGTCAGTATCGCATTGCGATTTTTCCAATTCGCGTTGCGATTTACTTATTCGCATTGCGATTTTCCCAATTCACGTTGCGATTTACTTATTCGCATTACGAATTGGGAAAATCGCAACGACACTGTAGACCATCGCAATGCGATTTTCAACTATCGCATTGCGAAAATGCAACGCGAATTTGCGATAATGGAGATCGCGTTGCGAATTAGCGATCGCATTGCGATTTTGTTGGTCATTTTGGCAAATCCGGAAAAAGTTGGTTAAAATCGTATATTATATGGGATTTTTGGTCACTGAAGTTATTTTCTCATAATATAAAAAGTGATACAAAATGGCATGAAACCTATATGATTGGACTTGAAAAATCTAATAAGCTAACTGCATTAATATGAACCCGAGACATGCAAGTCTGCAATGATTTACGCTAATTAAATTCTAAAATTTGCTGTGCGTGTAATTTATGGGAAATAGTCGGAAGGTAATAGCACTTATTTACATTAAGTTTATTAGTGTTGAAATGATCATCCAGCTCAGTTGGTAGAGTGAGGTGGTTGGATCGAGTCCCACGGAGGACATTTCATAATTCGGAGGTCTCTTACGGAAGCATACTATCTTATCTCCCCCTTACCTCATACATATGGAGAAAAGGGACATCCGTTTTTTTATTAGTGTTGAATTGTGTGAACAACAATTTTACTGCTCAAGCAAGAAAAGGGGAAATTGAAGATTTGATGGTTTTCGACATTTAATGGAATTAATATCGGTGAGTATTCGAAGTTGCTACAAGTGTAGACATCACATTTTATTATTTAGGAACCTATGAATACACTAATCCCTTGTTCTAAATTCCCTAATAATTACTTGTCTTTTCTTCACATTAAACCATTTTAACATGGTTCATGAATAACTGATGCACGTGTATGTGAATGGGATGTTAGCATAGTAAAATGATTTTGGTCTATTGTATTAATGTACGTAATTTCATGTGGGTATGCTATGATTTTAGGCAACTCGATAGAGGCACCAAATAATGCAATAGTAGCACCTAAGTGTGCATATCTCATGCGAAGAAAAAAAATACATCGGAAAGTGCAAGTATAAATGATGAACTAAAAATAGTGAAATATACACTATGAAACAAGATTTTGAGCAGCTGAGAAAATGATTTTATTAGGTGGTCCAAACTTGAGTGGAGAAATGATACCAAATTTTAAAATAAATAAATAAATTGAAATGTTATTTTTATCGTGTGGTCCCTAATATAATAATGATAAGCCTCTTTAAGGCAGCCATGCTTGCCTACTAGGATACTGCTGACAAATCTTGTTTAGATTGCATGCATGGGACCATTGTTACTCCTCAGCTCATGAATTATTCTTTATCTTTATTTTTTTTCTTTTTCAAGGTTTTTTTAAAAAAAATAAGTTTATAACCTCTATATACATTTCACGATTTATGTTTAAATTTTAAAAATATATTATTAAAAAAATCACAAATTGTGAATATAAATCGTAAAATTTAAATAAAAATAAGTTTATAACCTCTATAATATTTTTTATATTATTAAGAAAATATAAAAAATATTTAAACTACATAAAATTTAAAATTTTCATAAGATACAAGTGCGCCTCATTACTCCTTGATATCTCCATGTCTAGATACAAATATGCAAAAAATAAATAAAAAAGTTTGACCCAAAAGACTACAAAAATCACTAAGATTGATGTGTTACACTAATACTATATATTAGCTAATGCATGCAAATCATGATAATTAACATTACTAATCGACAATAACATGTAAGTAGTCAAACATTAATGAAAAGGTAAATGCTATTTCCCCATAGAGGAAGATCATGTTAATCAACATTGAATTGGAAACCTCTCTCAGTGTATATGTTACAAGGTAAAGTACAGAAATAGTCACTAAACTATACTGAAATTATCTTTTTATTATTGAAATTTCAAAAGTAATAAAATAATCATTAAGTTTATCGAATTAGTCTTAAATGGTTCCTATATATTTTAAAATAATGATAAATTCTGATAAAAATTAATGACCATTTTATAATAATTGATAAAGTTTAATGACTATTCCGTACTTTACCCTATATATGATCGATCGAGTAGACCTAGCAATGACCGAAAGTTTGCTGGATCTGGTGGGCGAGTTCTTCTGCACTTAAGCGGCATTCAATTCCAATCTGCTCATTAAAAACGTAAAAAAAGTTAATATAATTACACCATCGGCATAAACCCAAACCTAAATTTTATTTAAAGAAGTGATTTAATTAACATAATTACTGCATGAAAATGACTGAAGAAGATGCCATAGATTTCAGCGAAAAATTTATAATGGTCGTGTTTCCAAGAGCTGTAAGTAAATTTGCTTCTTTTTTTTTACTGCAAGTAGAGTTACTGTACTCCAATGTCGGATTAACTTTTGTCTGAAAACTACTGCAACATGCTTAAGAAAACGATGTTTTGCTTAATGAAAAGAGGAATTGGTTAAGGGATTTTAGTTTTTACCTTGATCGTGAAGGAATTAAGCACGGTTTCATCGACGGTGTTAATGTTGACATTGAGTATTTCGAGCGAGAGTTCCTCAAGAGCAGAGATTATCTTCAGAGCTTGACCTGGAATCCGAGTGGACACCGTCTTCAAAACGAGATTCGGGCCGGAAAACTTCACTTCCACGTCGGCAATCGGAGATTTCGAGTTCGCCACGAGCTCATTGTTGTCGACGGAGGAAGTGGAGGAAGTCGGTGACGGTTCGAGCGAAATAGTAGCCGCCACGGTCGGAGACAGATAACCAGCCTTTTGCAACGTCCTCGGCTTGTAAGGGCTACCGGGCTGAGGTGTTCTCGGGCTTATCGGCAAGTTCAGCGGCCTCGGACTGAGTTGAGACGGTCTCGGACTCAACAGCATCCTCGGACTCAACACTTTACCGTAAACTTTCCTTTGTTTCTTCGCCTGGAGCGAGTGTAGAACTTGCTGCAACTCACTGATGTAATCCACTACTCCCCCAATAATTGATGCTTGATCCCCCTAACACATAAAATACAGTATCCTTTTAAGACGGATCATGGTGCATGCGTTTTAAGACTGCAAAAAAGTGCAGAAACTTACTCTTTTGACATAGAAGCAAGGCATCAACGATCTCAGCACCGATAAATGCTCGTTCATTTGCTTCCTCCGGTTGCGTTCGACGGTGATATGCGACACCCTTTGAGGTCCATCGGCGTTCGCCGTCGTTTCCTCCAAAGAAGCCACCTTCCGCCTCTTGCTTTTCGGCGAAGTTCCCTCCGTTTCGGACTCCATTTGTGCACCACCAGCGGCAGCCGTTTCTTCAAACGGGGTGAAAGGTACTTGAAACGACTCAGTGAGTCCATCTAAGCTCTCAAAAATACTAAACAAATCATCATCGCCGACGAGTTCTGATTCTTCGAAAAACTCACACAAACTATCATCCATCGGAAAATCGTCCAGAAAATCAGTATTTCTTTGAAGAAAACCGTTAGTCTGGAAAAAGAACGGGTTGCTATAAAAGGGGGTAAATATGTCAATTCAAGAGCAGCGGCCCTGAAACTATCACCATCAGGTAATCTCCTTTCTTCTGTCTCTAAAAATCTTCAAGCTTTGAATATTTGCCCTAGTTTGACACTGCTGCTGGGAACTGAAAGTGAAACAACAGTTAGAATACTGTTGAAGGAGAAGCAAAACTAGGAACTCAAAAATGGAAAATGGGAAGGAGGTGAGAGATAGGTAATAAATAAGGTAGATAAATGCAGAATTAAATGAAATACTCGACGTGGTGGTGGTGGTGATGGTGATGATGATGATGATGATGATGATGATGATGATGATGATGATGATGATGATGATGGGGTTTTGTTAAGCTTTATTAATGTTACTATATTACAATATTTGTCTTCAGGTTGGTGCTTGAGTGACACATTAATAGTATTGTGCAATAAAATTAGAATAAATTAATAAATTCTTAGTTATTTTTTTAATAAAACTATGAAAAACAAGAATGATTAAAATCATGGCTAAACTATATAAATAGTCATTAATATTTGAGTAAATTTTCATTTTTCTTATGAAAGTTTTAGAAAGAACATATTGATCATTAACATTATTGATTTGTAATAAAATGATTACTCTACTGTCATCCCGTTAAATTGATGACGTAGAAACATTAACTAAAAAGGTTAATATTTAATTTTATCCCTGAACTACTATTAAAATATCAAATAGGCTCTTGAACAATGATTTTATATCTAATTTACGTTTAAAGCTTTTTAATTTTTTTTCAGACACTCCACTACCTCCATTATATTCACCTGAAACACCCTTCACGCAACACCAAGAACGACGGAGTGGATCGATTTAAATTGGCTAAATGTTTGAGTTATAATTTTCGAGGATAAATAATAGCATTAACCAACAAATTTTAGGTTTATATTGATTTTAAAATTAAAAATATTTTAATATAATCATTAAACTTTATTTTAGGTGATTTTAATTAGGGAAATGAGTTGTTAAATCATTAACAACGTAATGAATTGGTTATTTCTTTTCTATTTTCAACGATATATTTAAGGTAATCACGTCCCATACATAAAATACATAGAATCAAACATCCATGTACAAGAAAAGAGCACTGAAAACACGACAAAGATAAAGTCTCAAGTTTGAGTTTTTGTATATACATAAAATCTCTGTTTGGAGACTCACCCATCAAAACTATATGTACGATCCGGATCAATTCAAATTAGTCAAGACAAACTCTTAAGAACCGAGAGGGCAACCAAAAAAGAGGAGTTTTAATGAGTAGTGGCCATGGGAAAAAAGCCTGCAACTTGTGTCTGTGTTTTAATATGATTTTTCTTTCTTTCTTCCTTCCTTTTCTCATGTTATAAAGAAGAAGGGCTAACTATAGCGTTTACGACTAGCTTTCAATGTCCAGACACGGCATCTCCGTGTCTACGATGATTCAATTTCATTTCACTGCATCTATGTTCCTGTTTAAACATATAGGTTATATATATAGAGTATTTTTTGTTTATTTGTTTATATATATGTTTAAATTATTACGATAATCTAAAAGATAACGGTGAGAAAAATAAGTAAGATCAAACAATATCAAAACTTACGTAAAAAAAAATCTATAAATATTCTAATCCATATTATCTATTTATCAAGTTAATTACTTCATAAAATATTAAATATTATAAAAAATATATAAATATTACAAAAAATGTATAAATATTCAACAAGACACCTATCACAATCGAGATTATTAATATATTACACTACTTACTAATCTCCGTATCCATCACATATTCTCTCTCTCTCTAAATTTATCTCTTCTATATGCTACGAACTTCTTAGTTTGCCCTTGCATAATTAAGGGTAGCCTCCCCTCATTCAAATATTATCAGCAATATGTTTATAATAAATTGGACCCTACACTTGTTTAGAATTGTGGTTTTACGACAAAAATGATTTCCCTGTTCATATTCATCCCATAGCTATTTCCATCAACCATCGATTCTCACATTTACCATCCTCAACAACCACCCATCCCTTTCTTGCTTGACAAAAGCCAATCACCATTTACCCACATTTAATTCTTCTTTCATGTTTGATTATTATTTTTCTTATTAATATGTAAAATACCCTTTTTCAAATCATTGAAACCATCATGAAAATGCCAATGCACCAATAGAATTTATGTTCAAATTTTGGAGATAATGTTGTTAGAAATATTTATTTCAAATTTCGAATATAAACGGTAAGACAAACATAAAGAATCAAACATAAAAAACTATAAGCACCGATTAGAGTGAAAATTAAAAAGTATAGAAACATGCATGCATGAAGCTGTTTTAGTTACCTGTAAACAACTTTATCTGTAAGAATCTCAATAGTGCGAACATATAGGGACAAACATGATGATATTCTCTATGTATGCTAAACTGCTACATCATGTCCACGAGGATGTGTTGAGGGACCGAATCAGAATTAGAATTCATGGGGGCAAAGTATAATTAAAACTAGGACTGAATGTCTTCAAAATCGGCTTTCTCGCCCATATAGGGTTGTGGGAAAAATGATTTTCCCTTATAAAACATCCACCATATTATTTTCTGAATTAGGGCTTCTTGTCTGAAGACGCCGTGCACTCCTAGTGTCTTCTCTATTTGCCTGAAGACGTCATGCAGTCGTGGGGTATTCTTCATTTGCCTGAAGAAATCATGTAATCCTGGAGTCTTCATATTTAGCTTGAAGATGCGTAAAGCACCTAGCGTCTTTAGGTTGGGTACTATACATTTCACCTTAGATGGGGAAATAATCCCCGAATGGATTATATTAGGAATTTTTTCCCCACATCATTTACACATCCATTTTGTCCTTCAAAATCTTGGGTGAAACAATATAAACAATATTTACCTAAACATATAATGACTTATGGTTGAATTTAATTAAAATTCATTGACCAACTTGGATTAAAAAAATAAATTTAAAATTTTTATTTGAATTACTTTATTTACATATTAAATAAAAAAAATTAAATTTGAATTTAGTAAGTAATCTTTTGTCTTTTATGAGGCAATAGAGGAAAATGGGACAAAATTTGAAATCGAAAGGGCAAACAAAAATAAATTAAATGAGAAGGAGGTCCACTCCACATCTTCATTTACTCCCCAATCTGAAACTATCATTTATTAGCACACACGAAATCTATGAGCTCAATATTGCTCACTTTTCTCCCTCTATTTGTTTTTTAAAAAAATAGCTAATTTGTTATGGGTTTATTTAGTTTGCATTTATTGACATAATTTAAAATTTTAAGATGTGCTTGTTTTCTAACAAAAATTACATGAAATGCATTTAATCATATTTTTTTTTATTAATTTGGGATAAGTAAAAGATAATATATGTTTAAACATAATTTTCAATCTTTCGACATTAAACATTCACACCTTTGGTATCTATGGTGCTTGAACCCGAGTCCTCAAGAAATAACAATAATTCTTTTACCACAGAGACCACTTGATCCGTACACATTGAATCATATTGTTTTAATTTATATGTATTCATAGTATGTAATGTTGGAAATTAAACAAAATTGGTATAAAATAACAAAATTCAATATATGTCATGTCAGATTATCAAGACAAATTAAATATGAAAGTATATTTAAATACATTGATATATTAAGATCCTTAAATTTTATCCTTTTTATCTTGTAAATTAGCACACAAGTAGTTAGAGATGATGATTCTATTTTTATAAGGATGAAATATAAAAAAAATTAAACTATGTGTATTTAGAGAACCGTAACTCTAATAAATAATTTCATATAATAACCTTCATTTATATTTAGTTGGTTGCCAATTAAAAATTATTTATTTATGTACCAACATAAAATTAACCTTAATTTTAATCTACTATATATTTCATAAAAAATATATTATATTATAACTTGTACGAACCAACTTATCTCAGTGGTTAAAGGAATTATTATTGTTCATTGAGGTCATGGGTTCGAGCGCACTGCAACAGGGTAATTGAGAGTTCATTATCATATGTTGAGAGTATTTAGAACAAATAATATTTTATAATCACATTAGCTTAATAAAAAAATATTATAACTTTACAAAATATATAGTGTGTAATAAGTGTAAGGTTTAATTTAATTTTTTATTTTTTATTTTAATCTATAAATTCTTTTTTCTTTGGCAAACAAATCTATGAACCCTTTTACAAAATTTAAAAAAAATAGTCAAATAATATATTAAATTAATTAATGACATTTAAACTGAGTTGGAATGGTCGTTTTTGCCTCTGTAGTTCCTAATTCGAATTAATCGATCAACAGATTAGATATCGATAGTTAAAAATTGTAAAAAAAAATTAATTAATGACGTCAATGTGATAGACTCCAAAAATTGAACATAAATTCCATATTACAAAGTGAAAACCATATTACATAAATTCTAAAGGTAAAAATAGTTACTGTGGTGAAAGAATGCCAAAAATCCAATTAAAATAGAAGGAAATTGACAAAACCTGATTTTGAAGTCCCCAAACTATGTGTAGGACTACAATGTAGTCTGTCCGTTTTTAGCATTTAAGATGAAAAACTCATTTAATGGACTTCCATCCATTCAAAATTATATGTAATTCCTATTTTTTCAGTCAATTTTTTAAATAAAATTTCATTTCAAACAAATATATATACACATCATTCGATCGTTATCCTCTCCCTAAAAATGTATATATGATAGGATGTGCAGTGTCACCGTTTTTAAAGTTTAGGATCTCCTCCTTTTTCGGCATGAGATGAATGTCTCCCACTTTTTTAAGACGTGATAACTGATAACCCCCTCACTCAATCTCGTGACGCCTTCATCACAGTTGTTCGATCTGTCTACCTTGCCCAATGGAACGTTCGACATAAAATCGAACAATTAATTAAATGATCATTTTCATACCACTTGTC